TATCTCAGTTTCCTAAGCTTGAAGCTACTAGGAGTATCACTACTCCCCCCTGGATGGGATACTAGTATACTAGTCCATTGCAAGGTGATGCCCTCTCCTTCATAGCATTTCATCAGACTTCCCTGGTAACTTGCCAGTACACATTTTCTCCTGGGTGGAGACAGGCTTTGTGTGAGTGAAGTGTTTTGTCCAAGAACGCAACACATTGACCCAGCCAAGTCTTAAACTTAAACCTCTCTTCCCAGAGTTCAGTGCACTAACCATAAGACCACTGCACCTTCCAAATAGGTTTCCATTTTAATTTTCTTCACAACTTTCTTTTTTCTTTTTCCTGGTAGGAAAATGAAGATGTAGTGGAGGCAGCTTTAAACGCAAACAGGGACAGATTTTCGCTGGAGCATGCTTTACCATCCTGGACACACAGAGGAATGGCTGTGTTTCCTGAGGGTAGGTTTCATGGTAGGGTACTTCATAGCTGCTGTTTGGTCTTGTCATGCATTGTGTCCTGGTGCAGAGGAAGTTTGTTGAGTGACGAGGCTGTTTGTCACGCAATGTGCTCTGGTGTGTAGGAAGAGGGTTGCGTGAGAAGTCCAAGAAGACTAGTGTTTCAACCAATAAAAAGGCTCTTTCACATAGCAGCACAAATTTTCTTGAAACAAGGGTGTTGTTTAGTATTACGTCTCGTTTTGGAGATGATTAAATATCCGATTTTATGGAGAAGCAGAAATGGTGTCTGCTGTTAGTGTTTTTTTTTTCGTATCAAAGGTTTTATTAACTCATGATATCCTTTTTGTCCACTATTTGGCATTTCTCTCTTGGTCTGTTAGACTGATGGTGTGATTTCTCCGAACAATTTTCAATTGAATGTCGACAGTAATCCGAGATTTCATTGGTTTTGCTTTACTTCGCTCTGTGATTGGTCCGGAAAACTCGCTCCACTACCTTAACCAATCAGAACAAAAACTAAAACCAGTCACGTCTTGGTCGCGCGCGTTTTCCCGCGCTTTATCATCATAGGGGTTTCTTCATGTGCGTGGTTTTTTCTAAGCTTGAAGAGCGTGGGCCACTTTCATAGCGATCGTGGATTCACTTATTAAAGTCAGTCTTGTTTTAAATTGCTTTGCAAAACTGCATAGCCTCGATGCCTGTAGTTTTTGCTAGCAGTTTAGGTAGTTTTGTCATCATTACTCTGAGTTCTCTTTGTTCCTTAGAGTTATTTTCCTTTTTTCTAAATTGGTAGTTGTGATAACTTTGGTTCGGTTTTACAATCGACAAGTGTTCTAAAAAAATGTTTAAGGCGGCATTTAATATGGAGATTGTTTCTTGTATCTTTTACAGCAGAGAGATGTATCCGAGCGTCACCTGATCAAGATTTCACCAACGGGTTTTTCGTGGCACTCTTTGTGAGAAATGACAATGAAACAGTGATGGATCACAAAGCTACAGAATCCAATGGTTTATTACCCGGAGGAAAGAGGAAAAGGTCTCAAGAAGACTCAACACAACCAGTGAATGATGACGTTGACAACGACAGCGATTCTGCACATTCATCAGCACATGTTAGTCTGTTACCGAAGAAAAAATATCGGAAAAAGAACAAGAAACACCAAGAAGTAAATTTACAAGAACAATCTAAAAATATGAATTTGGAAAGAAATTTCGGACGGGATGGTGGTAAAAAGAAACGTAAACGGAAAAAGAAAAATAAAAAGGTTTCTGTTTGCTCATAATACTTTCTGGATTAGCTCCACTTTTTTAAACTCTAAACTGTGTAGATCCAATCAATTCTCCCTGGTAGCGGCTACGTATTTTCTGGTAAACTGTTGATGAGAATTTGATATTGTATCAAAATAGCAAATTTAAATTGATTTGTCATCACGTTTTTACGTCTTCTGTGATCTTTTACAGCAGAATTTGATCTGTTTGGTTTATATGATAAAATCATTTGTCTGAAACAAACTGAACATCGAAAAAATTACAAGGACAGCGAAATCGTTTAAAAGCGGGAAGGGAAAAAACTCGTGATAAGATTTTGGGAAGAAAGGGAGATGTCAGGGCACGACCAAACAGTTTCAAATTTCATCTTTGTTTTTCTTGTCCAGTCTACTTTTCCATTTCCTTATGTCTGTGTCAGAATATAATAAGAGAAGGCATCCTCGCCGTTCTTTACCGGTACCTACTTAATCTTTAATTTCGACTCCACCCTCCCCTCCCAGAGTAATTTTTACGACGTTCCTCGTGCGTAAAACAAAAATGGCGGAAGATGAAGCAGCAGCGAACACTGTGGAGGAACCACTCGATCTCATACGTCTGAGTCTGGATGAGAGGATTTACGTAAAACTTAGGAACGATAGAGAACTCAGGGGAAAACTCCACGTAAGTATTTTGGTTCTATGATATTCTGGGGGCCGCCATGCTCAGCTGACAACAGAGACACATTTGAAACGGTTCAAATCATGAATTATGAAAGGTTTTGTCCTTTAAACAACAAATTCAGCCCTAGAAAGCTCATTTTCTGATCAAAGTAGCCTGTTTGGTCTCCCATCAGTGACAAGGTATCAGCTGACATAAAATAGTCTCCATAAATCTATCGAATGTAGAATTCGAGTCTCTAGGCCAAAGGGTCGTCTTTTATGTATAAATATTGGAATGATTCATCAAATGCAGAAATGAAGAAAACCAATAACACATTCTCGTGTTTGATTAATTGCCACTTAAGCTTAATCCAACGCCTATGTAGCTGAACAAATCTTATTTCTTCTCAGGCAAAATGATTAATAAGATTTTTGAGATAATTTGAGGAAATGAAATTCAAGACTGCCATTGTAGGTGAAATGGTGATTTGATAAGCGACTTGTCAACTCAAGGAAACGTCACAGGCTTCAAATTAAATTTTACACTTGTTTTTATTGGGGAAAGTCCACTTGCTAATGGCTCTTGGGTTTAACTCTTTCACTTACAGGATCTGAAAGCTAATTCTCCTAATGGGTGACCGTACACTGTTTGGGTGAATTTGAATTCACATCTAGACAATGTCCTCAATATAAGTCTGTTGGTTTTAACTATCTTTTAGTGTGATAGTGTTCTGAGAATGTAGCAAATAATCATGTCCAGCCACAGTAATGTCAATTTGTGTTTCCATATTGTATAGTGGGAAATGTATGGCATTCAGATTGATATACATCAGATTAACACCTTTCACTTTTATGGATATGTAGTATTCTTAATTTCTTTCCAGGCTTATGATCAGCATCTTAATATGATCTTGAGCGAGGTTGAGGAAACCATTACAACTGTAGAAATAGATGAAGAAACATATGAAGAACTCTTCAAGGTAAAAACTCATGATTTATTCTGAGCAGAATTTGACCATAGACTGGAAACTACAGTATTGCACCAAGCTACTTGAGTAAACTGCACAATTCTTTAACAATAATTTGGGAGACGGATTGAAGTCCTAAACAGGGAAAATAACAAAATGAAGGACTTCAGGGTTGATGAAGATTTCCTGAAATAAACTTGTAAAATGCTTTTTTGCCTGCTTCTTAATTTGCCTCTCTTGGGGCAAAAAGACTTGTTATGATAGATAAACAAGACTTGTAAAATTATCACCATTTTGTTAAAAGGTGACTGTAGTAATGAGCAAAGCTCCTATCAGTTTGAATTTATATCTTTTATTTTGTTTGCAACAGACAACAAAAAGGAATATTCCAATGCTGTTTGTGAGGGGAGATGGAGTCATCTTAGTCTCACCACCATTACGTGTTGGACTTTGAAATCACCAATATGGCTGCTTTCATCTAAAAATCAGTACACACAGAAGTAGTAAAGGCTTTCTCAAAAGTATTGTATTTATTGCTTTGATATTCATACATTTTTCTAAAAAAGTTCAAGTCTAAATAAAAGGATAATAACATTTAAATCAGTGATTTTTATTTTTTTGGAAAAGTTCTTAACCCTTTAACCCCCAGAAGTGATTAACATAAAACTTCTCCCTACAATATCCATACATTATTCAGCAAACAGGTAATGAGAATATTCAAACTTATCAGGTTGAAGCTACTATTTTGATCAAGCACCAAGTTTTCATAATTAATTTAAAAGGAAATGTGTAGCAGCTAGATGGGAGAATTAACAATCAGATCTTGAGAGTTAAAAGGTTAACCAGCTTCTGTGGTAGTTAGCATACTGGATTAATTAAGGGTAAAAAAGTTTTTGGGTAATACACTTTAACCCTTAACTCCCAAAATCAGATGTTTAATTCTCCCCTCTAGCTGCTACACATTTCCCAGTAAATTGGTTATGAGAATTTGGTGTTAGAGGTTTGCTTGGGAAATCACTTCCTTGATGAAACTTAACTAATACATTCACTATCACTATCACTTGTTGTCTTCACACGTGGCTAAATTAAGTCTTCTCTGACACTTTGCAGTTTAAATAAGTTTTACCATGAGTGGCTGATGAATGGTGTACATTTGTGTAATGGGTGGCTGTGCCTGAAAAGGGGCCATGATACAAAACCCACACAACAGCCTGCTCCAGATTAAACAGACTGCAGAAGGAGGTTTTAAAAGTGGTGGTAGATCTCTGCTAACCTGCTTTTATTCAAACCCCTGACTTTGAGCCAACATCCATTACTGAGCAGAAAAAGTAACTTCATTTTTTTAGTAACTTCATGTCATGCCCTTTACTGTTTGTGGTCAGTTCTTCATTTGCCCTGCCTCCTTCGCCATTGATAAACCAACAGTTACACTGAGTGTTTCCCAACAGACTTACAGTAAACTTTTTTACATCATATTCCTGTTTTAGATGTTGTAATTTACTCTAAGATATTCCAGAACTGAAGGTATACTTTTAAGCTCACTGAACACTCTTCTGTCTAAAAAGCGAAAAAAGAGATAAAACAAACTTCAGCACTACATAATGGACTATAGCTATGAAATAAAGTGAAGTTTTCTAAATGGAAAATTTGGAGGAAAATGTCAAATATTTCCAGAAATGTAGCCTATCTTCAGCTGTATGAGGCCAAAAATATTTCAAATGAATAAAGGGAGCAAGTTTCTAAAGAAAACTGTGGTGCCGCATTGGTTGGAGAGTGTAACAGGGTAATTTAGTGTTATCAACTGAGTTGATAATATAAATTGGACACCTAGCTTGCCTTTAAAGTCTTTACAGTGGCCAATTTACATTATCAACTCAGTTGATAACAATTAAATTACCCCAAAATATTTCCAATTTGATTCAACCCAACTCCCAAACATAAGCATCATTCAGCACCCACCATTAACTTTTACATCCTAACATTTTTTTCATATTCTCCATACTGTTCTCTGTACATTTACTATGGTGCTGACAAGGAGAATTTGGTTAACAATCAAGAGTATCTTTTGTTGGGGATTATTTCCTTGATTCTCATGATGTTAATATGTGATTCAGGAGTGACATTGTAAGGAGAAATTAGATGCTAGTCACTCTAATGGGGTGCAAGGGTTAATAAGCTGTTTAACAATTCACATCCCCATCCTAATTTTTACCTGCTTTTGTTGTCACTTTCTCTAACATGTAAATCAAATGATGATGAAAGTTGGTGAAAGGAGTGCCAAGGGAAAGAGCAACATCAACCTAAAATAGTGCAGTTGTGAACAATTTATTTAAAAAATACTTGTAGGTAAAGTCTGTCCTTAAGCTAAATAGCCCATCCAGTTGGAGTTTATCAGAGTTTCCTTTGCATGAAGCCACTAAGAGCATTACTACTCCCCCCTGGATGGGATGCTGGTCCACAATGACCTGTATTGTTTTTTTGCATAATTTTGGTGATAAAATTATCCCCTTTGAATAGGGGAAATTAAACTCAAAGAACGTTTTTAAGTCATTGTCATTTAAATTTGCATGATGTTCCCACAAATTATATCTCTAATTTCTATATGCTCGAGACTTTCTACTTATCAAGATTTTCCAAGTGTTACTTTGAAAACCCTTGCTTCCAGCTGCAGCAAAATGTACTGTGAACTGATGAAATGATGTGTGTGATTAACTCCTCTACAAGCATAAATGGGGTACATTTGGCCCCATGTATCTCCTAAACAAGCATTTTATTGTATTTTTCAAAACAGACATTGGTAGGGAAAATTACAGAAAGTTAAAAAAATTTTTTCATAACTTTTTTTTTTCTGAGGAATTACCTTTAACATAATTATAACAAAATTAATGAGCAAAATGGTCACTCCTCCTGTAAAGTATGGATCCAAATCTTTTCTGGAAGTTTGCTATGCTCTAAAGTGACCTAAGTTTCCTAAAAAACCCGAGACAGACCAGTGATCTCTATGACTTACCCAATCTGTGACACATTGTAAAGGAGTTGACTGATACCCTGCAAACATCGCTGGGTTGTTCAAAATTCCTCTGGCAGCCATCACACCTGCAGTACAGTAATATATTGTCAACAAAAATTGCATGTAATGATGTAAAAGAATACTCCCAGTCCTAATGGCACAATAAACCTTTAACCCACAAGAGCAATTGGCATCTACAGTGCAATTTCTCTTTAGAGTATCACTGCAGAATCAAACTTTAAAACAAATGAAATGATCACCAACTAAAGAAGCTCTCGATTGTTACATAAATTCTCCTTGTCAGCACCTTAGGAAATATTCAGAGAACAGCATGGAAAATATGCATACAAAAGTTGAAAAAATTACCACCGACTCCTGTTTTTTCATGGACATTTATAACATCTGATTCTGTTTTGATATCTCCATTGGCCACAACTGGAATCAATACACTTTCTTGAATCTGAAATGAAAACAAAGTAGAATGAGCAATAAATATGCCGCAGAGTGACAAAATTATTGTTCTGATATCATTTCCAAATAACACTTCCATTTAAGGGGTTTCTATCTAAATGGTCACACAAACAAAAATCAGGCAGTCTCAGCAACTTCACCCTTTTACCCCTTATATTCCCAAGATCTGATTGTTAATTCTCCCCTCTATCTGCTATAAGTTTCCTTTAAAATTTGTTACGAGAATTTGGTGTTAGATCAAGATTGCAACTTCCACCTGATAAGTTTGAGTATTCTCATCAACTGTTTGCTGGATAATGTATGGTTGTTGTAGGGAGAAGTTACATGTTAATCACTTCTGGGAGTTAAAGGGTTAACCATTAAGGAATTTCTCTTTATTGCACTTCAATACAACGGCAAGCAGGTACGTAAATGAATAATGAAAGATATCTACTAGATCATGTTTGACCATCATACACATGCATTGAGTAAAGGCTACTTTGGATTGGCTAGAAGGGGGGGAGCAACCTTTTAATAAAGAAGTTTATGGGGGATCAGCAGTTTGAGGTATTCTAAGAGAGGTCCACTGCCAGAGGTAGGTGTCATGCAAAGCAGTCATAGTCATAGTCATAGTCATCCTATGGTTGTATGTGACATGAATTTTAATTAACTACTAAGCATGTAAGAGGAGATATG